TTAGTTACTTTTATTACGCATTTATAGCTAACATATTTGGACAAACAATCACAATATTTTCTACAGATAACATCCGATCGAAGCAAACGATGAAAAGAATTAAAAATTAAATTGTGACATAAGCTTTTAGAGATTATTTATATAAGAAGATTTAACTTCAATGAACCGAAACATTATATATTATATATTAAGTATATATGAAGTTTAGAATCAATGTAATACACGTGATATGCTAGAGTAGACTTAAAAATGAAGCAATCAACACGTAGAAAAGTTAGACTTTTTATAATGTAAATTTGGATCAAGAAATGTATCGTGTGCTTTGCTTGAGACAACACAGGGTCATCATCGTATCCCTTTTCCATGTAAGCAAACCAAGCATTTTTCATTCATAGTAACTGTTCTGTTGTTGCATGATATACCCTTTGTCGAAGCAAATGGAGCTAGAAAAAAAGATAAATCTGGAATTCAGATTAAATTTTTCATGTTTTTTTTCAAGAAAGTCAATTTTATAACTTGGTTACACAAATGGATTGAAAAAGACATATAACTAAATTATAATATATATATTATATATATATATATATATGTGCATATCTTATCTTAATATTAAGTTAAATTTTGCTTTTTAAAAGAGTTTATCATGCATATATTGTCGCAATATTTGTTGAAGCTACTATATGAGATCTTCTTTTTCTCCATGTAAAATGTTTTTTGAATTTACTGTAACAGGAAATAAAATCAATTCAATATAAACGAGGACAATTCTATATACATAAATGAGGACCACCCTCATTTTATACACGGGTTTTATAGGGATAAATTAAAATTAAATTCATTTCTTATTTTAACAAAGTTTGTTACATCTATTATGTTATTTATTATTGTGTCCTATCATACTATTCATAAATATATATACTCCTAAATCTAAGATAATTAAGATATACATGTTTTGATATGAAAGATAGTAAAGATCCATACCTACTAGAGAAATAAATCTCTTTATAAATAAATATGTAGTCCCACACACCAAACCAAATATACATATCGACTAAAAAGATAAAACCAATTCAAAGTTAAAACTAATTTAAATTATATAAGTAAAAACATTTCTCATTTAACAAATCTGATTAATGAATTAAACTTAAATTTACTTTTTTATCATACCATAACTAAATTTATGAATAATAGTTAAAAGAAAACGAAACAATATATTTCCTATAATGCTGTCTTCTGAAAAGAAACTACAACTTTGAATCTCTTTTTAATTGTTAAAAAGCATTCCGTTTCTTCCATTTGAAGTAGAGCATCAAAGTAGAAACTATAACATTGATTATGTTATATATATATATATATATTGGGTATTTATGGCATCTCCTCCAGAAGACAGGCAGAAGAAGCTGAAGCTGTTGGAGAGAGACTTGAATTGGTGAGAGTTCATTTGTCTCTGTCTATGTTGTCAGTTATTGAATTTGAGAACTGAGTTTTCATGATAACCATTGCAATCAAACATTTAAAGAATATGTGGAAAAGTTTCATATACTGAATTCATGCCTAAAAAAGTGGTAGTTTCTTTTCATGTGGAAATGATTTGATATATATGGTTTTGGTGTTACTTTCAGCATCATCCAAATTCCCTCAAAATGCAACCACGGCCATGGTTTCTTCTCGCACCTGTTCCTCGCACACCTGATCCTCTCCCACGTGTTCATCCCCTACCTTTCCTTATCAGGGAAGACATTCGGAGTGAGAATTCCTTAGCCTCCTTTATATCTCTGCTTTTACAATTTATTCATGCACCTTTTAGCTCTAAAATTTTACTTATTCCTTCAAAACCTCCTCAAACATAAAAACATTCAAGACGAATAATTCAAGTAATCATTATTAATTTCTTAAAGACCAATATTCAATTACTAAAATAAATAATATAAATATATGATAGATAATTTTAATGTTAGTAAAAGCTGTTAGAAAATCACACTTCAACTTATAAAATTCTTAGTTATCAAACATTACTCATGAAACTAAACTAACTTTTTAGGTGATAAAACAAACTTACAAATTCGCTCATATAAATAAAGAGTATAACTTAAAAAGTATTATAAATGTTATCTCAAATTTATAGAATAACTATACTTTTGGAACGGAAGAAGTATTTAGAAAAATATGTGTAATTCGGTAAATTAAAGTTTTAGTAATTTATTTCTAGGTTCAATATATTTGTTGCCTTCGTATTATTTTTTAAAATTGCATTTTTTTCCTGAACCTAAATACACCTATTTCATTCTGACACTTATAAAACATTATGTAAAATATCATAGCAATAACGATAAATATTATATTATAGTTTATTATAAAATTTCATGATGAAGAGAATATTGTATATAGTGATCAAATAGACATATATTTAATTTATGAATGAAATACAAATTTAAAAATTAGTCTAGTGATGAAAAATATATTTAATTCTTTATTTTTTTAAATGGATTAAATATATTTTTCGTTTTCTCGTGCAGTTTGTTGGATATGATACTTTACGTTTTATATGACTTTTATATAACACAATATGTACATATTTAAGGAATACGTGTATATTTAATTTATAGACGAAACACAAATTTTGATGTTCATTGATAAGTGAAAAATAAATCCTTTTCAATTTTTTTAAAAGTTTTAAAGCACTTATTTTGAAAATAATTTTGAAACTTCAATAGACTTTAAATGATAAATTAATTAATAATTAAGGTAAAATTATTTTGTGAAACAAATTTTAAAATATAAAATGAGAAGCGAAAAAAAAAAATGCCTAAAATCGTATACACTTAAATTAGAATACGGTCATTTGCATATACAAGGTAGTTGTAATCTATTTAAGCTAATTGTTTCCAAAGGGCTAGACTTATTATAAACTTATTATATTTTCCATTCACAAAGAAATTTATTATTACTAGTAATAAAATTGTTACTATTAAGGTAAATATTTTTCATGGGTCTTCCATAGCTTTCCTTTTTGTAATTGAGCTCGAAATTAATTTGAATTTTGCTCTCTCAACCTTTACAATTTGTCTTGTTAAAGAAATTTTGTACAATTTCATTCTGCATTTGAATCATTAGATTATTTCCATAATGCTTATATTGTTTAACCTTTTAATTTTGAAAACCTTTTTCTTTTAGCATGTAATGATCATAAAATAATTTTCTTAAATGATACAATTCATAACATTTAATCTCTACTTAAAATAATTCGATCAAAGTATGAATTCAAATGAACAATGAGATATCAAAACATGTTTCAGACCATTAAAGCTCTTTATAAACATATTTGAGTTATCTAATAATTAGCGTTACCTTGGGTTTATTTAATAATTTAATCTGCCTTAGGTGGTCTAACCCTTAGTTATTTAATGCCTTAATCGTCTAATACTTTAGTCATCTAACACCTTAGTCATCTAACATCTTAGTTGTCTAACACCTTAGACATCTAACATCTTAGTTGTCTAACACCTTAGTCATCTAACATCTTAGTTGTCTAACACCTTAGTCATCTAACATAATGACTAAGGTTGTCTACGTTAAGATACAAACAAAGTCTCACATCAGATAAAATAAAATAAGAGATGAACATAAGTTTATACACACATAAGATACTTTCATTGATAATAACCTTTTTAGGATGATACTAAAAACAAATCTATAAAAGCATATTAAAATATTAGTTTTTTTAGGGTCCGTTAAGTTTACACAACTAATTTTTGAATTGGATTTATTTTTATTTACAATTGTCTCGAAAATAAAATATTAATATTAAAATATTAATCCGTTCATTTTTCATTAATTTTTAATGATTTTTATTTTTTGTTTTTTCATGTTTGAATCACTTAGAGTCGATTTCATCGATACTAAATTTTAAAATGTTGAAAAATTTTCTATATTAATTATAGTGTGGATTTAGAATGGTTCCATAGACTCTAATTTAGTGAGTTTCTATGGACACTTTAATTTGATTTGATGTTAATCTTCAACATTCTTTTAGTGATACTTGCATCAAATTTATATATTAAAATCTGATCATAGCATCAGTTGATGTAGGATATACAAGAAAATATGTTTTATTAATATTATTTGTGAAATCTAATATTGAATAAATAAATGTATCTGTTATGACATTGGTGCTGATATTATAACAATTATAAAATAGTGTTTGAATTGTTTACTTTCTTTTATTTTAAATATAATTTTGTATTTTATATCTTCATTTTCCTACCTTTAGTTTTAACTTATTTTAGCATCAGGAGAACTTGGAGATGCCAAAGAAGCTACAATTCCTATTGAACTTTCTGAAGTAAGGAAATTAAATTTTGAGGAATTACCTAACTTAAGGGGTTTTTCATGTGGAGATATTGTTGAATGGCCATTCTTGAAGGACGTGATTGTGAACAACTGTCCTAACTTGAAGAAATTTGGATTGGGAACAATAAAAGAATCACAATTAAAGAGATTAGTCTTAGAAAGGCAAGAACAAGATGACATTGATACCAAAATTCTCCACCTTTTTGAATTATCGGTTAGTTCTCTTTCAAAATTCTAATTCATTATATTTTATGCAGAATTTTTCCTTCTTCAAATCGTGTCTTAATAGTCTGGAAAATAGTTCAAATTTTATTAATTTGTCTCTAGCTTTCTCTTGCCAAATTTTAGAAATATTTTATGACGAAAACCAGTAAACTTTCACATAGTTAAACATAAAAATAAAAAGTCAATTTTTTTGGATGTGTGAAAGAAAATTGGAATATATAAAACCTAAATTTACTTGTTTTAAAAGTTATAATGACAAACTAAAAACCAAGTTATTAATAGTGAAATGATAAAAATAATTAGATTAAATAATAATTATTATATATATATATATATGAGAATGTGTGAAACTATATGAATGATATTAAAAGTAAGTAAAAATTACAAAAATAGAATGAAAAATCTTACAGGATCAATTCTCAAGGATGGAAAAGTACTTTATTGACGACAAGAAGGAATTAAAAAAGACAATTGATGAGATTCGACCTTCACATTTTAGGAACCTGCAACAACTTTCGATAAAATGTTGTGATGAAAGGCTAAACAAATTGTTGTCTTTATTGATGAAGAGAGCAAATAAGCTTGAAGATATCAGCATTGAGAAATGCGAAACTTTGGGACATTTGTTTGATCTCAACGAATTTACCCCTGACAATGATGGACATGGAAAATATTTTACACAAATAAAGAGATTGATATTGATAGAACTACATGACTTGAAATGCATATGGAACAAGAATCCAATAGGAATTATTGGTTTTGAAAATTTGCAAATGATACACATAATAAATTGTTCCTCTCTACAAAAGTTATTCACTCCTTATGTAGCTGAGAAGCTCAGACAACTAAATGAACTAAAGTTAGAGGCATGTGAAATGTTACAGCAAGTTATTAAGATTAATGGTATCATTGGAATAATTAAGTTCCCAGCATTAAATAAGGTGGAGTTCAAGTCTCTCTCAAGATTGATTCACTTTTACTTGTTTCCTTTAGAATTTCCTCAACTAAGATCCTTGATAATAGAAAAATGTCCTCAACTAGAAGAATTTACAACTGGGTTTGCAACTATACATGTGCCACAAATAACTAATGTCGGGTCATTTTCTGAGTTGAATGAACTCAAGTTAGATAACTGCCACAAGTTGGTATGTGTAGTCTCATCATCTTGGGCCTTGCAAGAGTTGAAGAATCTTAAGAAACTCATTGTAAGCCATTGCAACAAATTGAAAATGGTATTCAACATTCATGGTGAAATATTTTATTATACAAATCTCCTACAACATCTGGATGAATTGATTTTGATTGATCTACCTAAACTAACTCATGTCATCAGTAAAGAGTTTGTTGGGTTCTATGAAAACTTGCAAAGCTTACAAGTGAAGCAATGTAACTCACTTAAATGGCTTCCAGGGTCTCTAATGCTGATAAGTATAGACATTTCAAATTGTGAAGCCTTGGAGAAAATTACGATCGCTGATGATATATATAAAGGAACAAGAGGAAAACACACCTTTCCTGAGTTAAAGTTTGTCTGTCTTAAAAACTTAACAAACTTACATACTATTTTTCCTTTTACATCTCAATTTCCTTCCTTAGAAGAATTGAAAATAACAAATTGTCCCAATTTGACCACTTTTGTTGAAGAGTCTAAGGAGCAAAAAGATCCTGCAAAATTCGTCACTTCAAACATTTTCTTCCCAGATTCAGTAAGTTTCTTCCAAAATTCAGCAAGTTTCGATTTAAAACTATAAATGATAGTCATGATCATCTATGTATGCATAAAAATGACAATATATATAAATGTTTTTCTATACATATATAGGAAGTGTTATTAATTTTTGTTCCTACCATTGAAACTTATTGTTTCTTCATTACTTCCTCGCAGTTATCACTGGAAACATTAAAGATGTTGTATATGAAAAATCAAGATGTTGAGAAACTTTGGCACAACAATTATCCTACCAAATCATTTTGTGAAATGGAATATCTAACTTTGAGTAACAACAACAAATTATTGAATGTCATCTCTTCTAACATGATCATAAGATTTAACAAGTTGAAAAAATTAACTTTGGAACAATGTGAGGTATTGACTGAGATATTTAACCTTGAAGATGACAAGCCAAATGATAATATCCAAGAACTTCTTCCTCAGTTACAGGAACTGGCATTGAGTAACCTAAGAAGTTTCACATGTGTTTGGAACAAGGAGCCTCAAGTTTCATTTTTTCCAAACTTAATGTCACTTCACTTTGTTCATTGTGGAGCCCTCCAAAGTCTATTTTCAATTTCTTCTACAAAAAATCTTCAAAATCTCAAATCATTGAAATTGTGCAACTGTGACAAAGTAGAGGAGGTAATATCTATTGATAATCGAGAAGACATGACAATCAGTTTTCCAAAAATGGAATGTCTTGTACTCAAGAATCTTCCGAAGTTTCTCAGTTTCTATCAACAAAATGGAACAATTCATTTACCTAACATACAAATTGTACAGGCAAGCAATATTCCAAGCATGAAAACATTTTCAGAAGGTAGAGTCATCACCCCATTGCTAAGATCAATACATGTAACATTTGTCAGGAAACTCTGGCTAGGAAATTTAAACAAGACCTTATCACATATCAGCAACAATCCAAGTATCTAAATGTGATATGCAAAGCTTTGAAATGTATAATACTATCGTGTGAACATGTTGATATATACATATTATATATACAAGACAACAATTTCCTTTTGATGTTATTTGCATATCTTAATTGGTTTTTGTTATATCATTTTTAACATGGATTATTATATCATTATGTGGTTAATTTGATTAGTAAAATCCTTTTAGGGACTTTCAAACCTGTTATTTAACTATTTGTTTATTATTTATAATACTTTTCTAGTAACAAATATTTTCAATTTATGTTTTCTCTTTATTTTTCTAGGAGAATTCCATTTGTGGAATTTTTCGATTCACCTTCATGAGCACCACGAAAATGGCATTATCAATAAACTCAAGTACTCTGAAATGAAATGAGTTATGCCATCCTCTTTCGTGGTTGAGTCATGGAACATATATTTGGAAAATTTGTTCCAATTAGTTTAAGGAATAGGAGCACATCTTGTGTAAAGGTTGGTAATGAAAGATGTCAAAGAACATAATACTTTATGTGTTTGGAAAAGGTTCCCCATGTAAATGGGTGTATTCCTTAATAAAAAAAGTACTCTAACTTCTATGTTTCTTGACTCGGGTTATGCTCCAAACATGATATGGTGACAACAAAAATAATAATAAAGATTTAACTTACAAAGAATGTTTGATCATATAACATGAACCTAAAATAGGATAACAAATATATAGGATAATAAAATTTAGTAGATATTATTCACATTTATTCTAATTTTGATGAAATTTCTTGGATCGATTGAGTATAAATACAAGTATGGATTTATATTTTAAATTTAGTCTGGAGATTGATTATCAATTTTGTTCTTGAATCAAATACACTAAGTATTCAATCTTTAGTATTATTTCCATAAAAATTAAAATTTGAGTTTCCTAGTTGAGAAAAGTATCAGAAGTTGAATCAGAATTAATATGAAAAATACATAAAAAGGATGGAAATTCAAAAATGATTAAAGAATCAAATAATTCTTCTTATCAATTTTCTGAAGTTTCAGATGTAATTTTAAACAAGTAAGCAATTTAATTAATCAATTGAACTGATTTACAAATCAAATAAAAGTGTCATTCAATATAGTTGAGATTTAATTATCAAATCAATATTCAATCGATTCTTAATTATATTTCTATAATCAGAAACACATTTTAGTCACAAAAGTTCAAAACCTGGAGCAAGAATAGAACATACTCGAAGCATTGAATGATCAATGTATAACACAATTCAACTTGTTCAATTTTGATTCCTTGAACTCAAATTTTATTTCTCTGTATATATTGATGAAGAATGAAATAGAGATAGAAGTGGAGAAGTGGAAGAGTCAAAATTAAAGTAAGGTAAGGGAGGAAGGGAGATAACGAGGCAATTCCTATAAAATATAGGACATACAAGAAACGAACAAATAATTACATGTTCATACTAAAAGGAAAATATTAAGAATAGGAACATGAGAACGTAAATATTGGTCAACTATCGAGAATGTTCGCGTATAAAACCTCACCACAAAAATAAAATATCTAAGAAAAACAAAGAACACATAATTAGTTTCATGATTTCTAACATTAAAGATTATGTGAAACTAAGAATTGAGATATCTTTATTAATCAACTCTATATAAAAAAAATCGTTAAAACATTACTTTTT